GCTCCCGCCCAAGGGTTCGGATCTCACATACAGACCGGTTCCCGCTCACTGGCTGAGCGAGGCGCGGGAGCAACACCGAGGGTTGCGATCCGTTGCTGGACACGGAAAAAGACAAAAAGACAAAAAAAAAAAAAAAAAATGACACCTCAGTGAGACATCCTGTGCAACTTTAAAATTTTGGCAATTCTGCCCATTCTCTTGTATTCATCGCTTACTCTCTCCTGCCTAGGATAACACCTGGTGTATATTAAGGACTCAGATGTTTGACTCTGCATTTGCCATGTCTGCATCAGTGATACTCTGCTGTAACCAATGCAGTACCTGATGAACTTTTGGCTTCTAATTTTGATACTTGATAACTATTAAGTAAGTTAGTTGTGTACAAACTGAAGGACAGGCCCATTTGGTTTGAAAAATGTTTTTATTCAGAATCTTTAATATATGGATTTTAATTTTAGATTTTTTTCTTTGAGATTCACCAACCACTTTGAGAATCTGAAAGTTCAACCTTTTTACCAGAGAAATCTATAGATTGAATATTATAGGTAATAAGTACATGATAAGCAACACTAAAAGGTATATGTTGCAAGTAAGTCCTTCAACCCATGTTCTCTTTAACTTCCCTAGACATAATACCATTAACAGTTCCTTATGTATCTTTATGAGGATATTTAAAACATAAATGCATATTTCCATTTTTATTCACATTTATCTTTTTATACCTAGCTTTAAAAAACTTTAATTTTGATCTTACCAGTATGTATGGGGCTTGCCTGCCTTGTTTTTGTTAAGGGCTGCATGATCTGTTGCGTGTGTATGTATACAAGGGTACTTCAAAAATTCATGGAAAGATTCATTCAGATATTATCTTTTAATTCTATTTTTCCGTGAACTTTTTTTTTTTTTTTTTTGCAGCTGGCCAGTACAGGGGTTGAACCCTGAACCATGGTGTTATCAGCATGATGCTCTGACCAATTGATCTAACCAGCTAGCCACTCCGTGTACTTTTTGAAGTACAGCTTTGGGCTTCATATTTGAATAGATTGAAGTTCTATTACTTGTAATAAAACTTTTCATTGTTTTACTTCTCTAAATGCATTCCATCTAGAGAATTTGGTGCAAAGAGTAAGAGCAAGGGTCCAGCTTTAATTTTTTTCCAGATGGCTGCCTAGTCACTCAGTCCTACTTATTAAGTCACTTTTGCTCCTAATTAAGAATTGCCTTTATATAATATTGCTGTATTTGTCTATACTCACAACTTTATATAGACATGTGCTACATGACATTTTGGTTAACCATGGATCACGTATAAGATGGTCCCATAAGTTTATAATGGAGCTGGAAAATTCCTATTGCCTAGTGACATCATAGCTGTCATAATGTCATAGGGCAATTACTTTACTTTTTTATTAACTTAGTGTAGCCTAAATGTTCAGTGTTTATAATGTCTACAGTAATGTCCTAGGCCTTTACATTCACCACTCACTCAGTGACTCACCCAGAGCAACTTTGTCCTGTAAGCTCTATTTATGATAAGTGCCCTATGTAAGTGTACCATTTATATCTTTTATACCGTATTTTTACTGTACCTTTTCTATGTTTATTTTTTATTTTTTTTTGGCGGCTGGCTGGTATGGGGATCTGAACCCTTGACCAACACTGTTACCAACACTGCACCGTAAATAACTGAGCTAACCGGTCAGCCTTTTTTTCTGTGTTTAGATACACAGATATTTACCATTGTCTTACAGTTGCCTACAATATTCAGTACAGTAACATGCTATATAGATTTGTAACCTAGGAGCAATAGGCTATACCATCTAGGTTTGTGTAACTACATTCTGTTTGCACAGTGACGAAATTGCCTAACGATGCATCTCTCAGAATGTATCCCCATTGTTAAGTGACACCTGACTGTAGTTTTGGGTGGTTAATGGACACATTGTTAGGAGCCACTGATTTTAAATGCTCCCAAGAGAACTATTCTTAGTAACATACTTTTTATATTCTTTCAGACAACATGTCTTGAAAGTTACTTGTTTGAGACATAGCCTGATTGGTGTATTGTAGTGGAGTTAAGAAATAATGGCGACTTTCTTCTGGTTTTCTTAGATTTGGGAATGGATGATGAAGGAGATGATGACCCAGTTCCTCTACCAAATGTTAATGCAGCAATATTAAAAAAGGTAAATTCTTTAAAGAGTTTGATTTTTTAGAGTGGGGACACTTTTTTCTTAATGAAGTTAGCTTTTAAGCTTTTATACACTTCCATTTTTCCTTTGTATAGATGAGTAGTTTTTTTGTTTGTTTGTTTGTTTGTTTTTAAAGATGACCGGTAAGAGGGTTTAAAGATGACCGGTAAGATGACCCTTGACTTTGTGTTGTCAGCACCATTCTCTCCCAAGTGAGCTAACCAGCCATCCCTGTATAGGGATCTGAACCCGTGGTCTTGGTGTTATCAGCACCACACTCTCCCAAATGAGCCATAGGCTGGCCCTAGATGAGTAGTTCTGAATCTAACATGTGATGCTTCTAATCCTGATGAAATAGGAAAATGTACATAACTTTTTTTAGACCAAAATTTCCTAAAAGTACACTTAACCCACATTTGAACTTATTCTGGTATACATTTTATTTGGGTATCTGTACCAGTATTCAGGTGAGGTTAGTTTATTTCATTCTGCTTAAAATATAACAGTAGTTAATACAAATAATTCAACAATCTGTATTAGAACTTATTGCTTAAAATTACTTTTAAATTTAAATGTTCTTAAATTTGAATGATATTTGAATGTTCTTGAACAATGTAATTGTATACAGAAAAAAGTTCTGTCTGTTCCCTTATAACAGTTGACCATTGTCATTCATTGGGCATCAGAAAGATAGTTTACGTAGTACTTGGTACACCTATGCAAGCACTTCTCTAGGATAGGTGATCTAGATGTAGAATAGGTCAGAGGATACACTTAAATTTTGATAGGTAGTGCTAATAAGCCTTTAATAAAGACACCACTTCTCAGAGCATGGTGGAATTGAATCATGACTACGTTTCTTAAGATTTATATTTTTGAATATAAAGAATCTATAACACTTTGTTCCCACTTCTGTCCCTGTTCACTCTGATCCCCCTCTTTCAGGTAATCATTTATCCTTTTAGTATTTTGTAATGCAGACATTAACAAATGAGTATTCCCCCCCCCATTCTAGAGGTAGCAAACTATATACTTGTATGTTTTCTTTTTTTTTTCATACAACAAAATGAAATGGTGATCTTCCTATATTAATACACAGCATCCTCTTTTTTATTTTTTTTTAACTCCGTGTAGTGTGACTGTAAATATTTGTTGTACTTTATTTAACCTGGCCCTGTGAATATTTGAGTTGTCTAGTCTTTTGCTTTATCACACTTAAATTACAGAAATACATTATATTGTGAAAATTTTTTTCAAAAACACATCTCTTATTCTCAAGCACCCTTTGTGGTGCACTCAAAGGGATCTTGAGAATAAGAGCTGTGTTCCCCACCCCCCTCCACCCCCAAGTTGATCACTCTACTGGTGTCTGAGCATAAACACTTCCCCAAATTTAATAGGATTCTAGTGTTTCAGGGCATATGGCTCCTTAACACAGCAAGCTGTTTAATTGGATTGTCATTCTAAGGAAATAGCAGCTTTTTTCCACATTGGGAAAACTGGCTAGACTTAAAGATGGGGATGTTCAGCTCCAGTTGGCCCCTTCCTGTGGGATTTTTCAAAGGTTACTGACATATGCAATTCTGTCTTCGGCTTTCTCTTGAGAACTTGACTCCTGCATGAGATGAAACTGCACTGCATATTTTTCCGTGCTCTTACTAACATTAACTATTATCGGTCTTTTTAATCTCCCTAGACTGGGTAAAAACTAATTCTCTAAGTCTGAACATTTTTTACATGTGTTATTGGCCATTTATATCTTCTGCATTGTCTGTTTTCATTTGCCCATCTTTCTAATGGAGTTTCTTTAAAAAAAAAAAAAAAGGTGGTAAAATGTACATAATATAAAATATACCATTTCAACTTTTTTTTTTTTTTTTAAAAGATGACCGGTAAGGGGATCTTAACCCTTGACTTGGTGTTGTCAGCACCACGCTCAGCCAGCGAGCTAACCGGCCATCCCTATATAGGATCCGAACCCGGGGCCTTGGTGTTATCAGCACCGCACTTCTCCCGAGTGAGCCACAGGCCGGCCCGCATTTCAACTTTTTTTAAGTGTACCATTCAGTACATTCACTATGTTGTGTAACCATTACTGCTAACCATCTCCAGAACCTTTTCATCATCCCAAACTGAAACTCTGTATCCATTAAACAATAACTCCGCATTTCTCCCTTTCCCCAGCCCCTGGCAATCATTATTGTACTTTCTGTCTCTATGAATTTGGCTATTCTGGGTACCTCATACATGGAGCCATATAGTATTTGTCCTTTTGTATCTGGCTTATTTCACTTAGCCTAATGTTTTCAAGGTTTGTCTATATTGTAATCTAACGGGCTTTTTAAAAAATTGTGGTAAAATACACATAACACAAAATTTACCATCTTAACCATTTTGAAAATTTTTTCTTTTTTTTTTTTTTAACCATTTTTAATTGTACTGTTCGATGGTATTACCTAATGGGCTTTTTATAAGAGTTCTATATATAAAGTTTTTTTACCAGTTTGCTTATCTTATGTCAATTTATGGTATGTTATGGTTTAGGAGCTTTATATTTTATCTAGTTGGATCTTATTTTTTTTTACTTAGGAGTATTGTTTTGCAATTAACATTTCATTTTATAGTAATATAAAATGCTCCTGAGAGGACTTTGGCTTGCAGTCATTCAAATGCCAGGTACGTTTTAGGTGCTAGGGGTACAGCAGTGAACCAAAGAGACAAAATCTCTGCCCCTATGGAGTTTACATTTTTATTTATTTATTTATTTAGTCTTTTTCATGACTGGTAAGGGGATCGCAAGCAACCCTTGGTGTGGTGTCGCCCACACCGCGCTAAGCTGGTGAGCGCACCGGCCAGTCCTATATAGGATCCGAACCCACGGCGGAAGCGTCGCTGTGCTCCCAGCACCGCACTCTCCCGAGTGCGCCACAGGCTCGGCCGGAGTTTACATTTTTAAAGGGGTGGTGAGACATACAACATAAGAAATATGTCAGATGGGAAAACTATGGAGAATTAAGAAGGGAAGGAGAAAAAAGGGACTTGGTAAATGGATAGTTAGCTCTTTTTAAAAGAAAGATCAGGAAATCTCTTACTGAGAAGATGATTTTTAAACAATGACATGTGAATGTGTGAGGGAAAAGAATTCTGGGCTGTGGGAGCAAGTGCAGTGACCCTAAGACGAGCATCTTCTGCCTTTTGAGGAAAGGCAGGAAGACTAATGTGGGAGCTAGAACAGTGACTGAGCAAAGAGGTGGCAGATGAGGTCAGAGTTAATGGGCTGGATGATGTGGGGCCACTTCTGAGAATGAGGTTTTTTTTAACCTGTTTGCATTAACTATATATCATATTTTGAATAATAATCACATGATCCCCAAACTATGAAAATCTCACATTCTTATCTGTCATCTGACTGGAAACTGTTCCACCCCCCTTGCCTTTTCCCAGTAATAATTGGCATTAGTTTCTTACATATCCTTTTAAGAGTTTTTTTTTTTTTTTGTCTTTTTCGTGACCGGTAAGGGGATTGCAACCCTTGGCTTGGTGTCGCCCACACTGCGCTCAGCCAGTGAGCGCACTGGCCATTCCTATATAGGATCCGAACCCGCGACAGGAGCAGCGCTGCGCTCCCAGCGCTGCACTCTCCCGAGTGCGCCACGGGATCGGCCCTTTTTAAGAGTTTTTAAAATGACTTTATAAGCAAATCTTATTTGCCATTTCTTTCTTTTCTTATATAATTGGACTACTTCTTAAAAAGGTATTATTTATTTCATTAAAGCCCCCTTAATGCTTGGCTTTCTGTCTTGAAATAGCTCATTCCTTTTTTTTTTTTGCATCCTGGAAGTATAATTTCTTGGTTCTACCATTTTCTCTTGGCATTGTTTATTCCCTCAAAATTTTACTGTGAGAAAATTTTAAACATACAGAAAAGTTGAAAGAATTATATAGCAAACACCCATGTACCCAGCACCTAGATGCTACAGCTTAATACTTTCAGTATTGATTCTGGTCTTCATGCTGGTACACATAGTCGAGCTAATCATTCTCCTGGAACTTTAACTATGGGAACATTTGGACTTTTCCTGTTTCGTTCCTACACCAAATAGTCTTATGCACGTGTCTGGGATATTTGGAATTTCTTGGTTATAATGTATGCACATATTTGGCTTTCCTAGATAGTGCTAGGTTACTTTTCAAAGTGGTTATACCAATACCAATTTATGCTCTCCAGTAGAAGAGTTCGGTTTCCTTCACACGATTGCCAACAATACTAATTGACAACAATTAGTATTGTCAAAATCTTGTGGGTTTTTTTTCAGTGTAGAGTAGTATCTGATGTGTTAGTTTTGCATCCAGTGAAGTCAAGCATTTTCTCATGCTTGACTATTCAGATTTATTTTGTTAATTACCTGTACATACCTTTTTTTTTGGCTGCTGGCTGTTAGGGGCATCATCTGAGCTCTTGACCTTGGTGTTATCAGCACCACGTCATACATATCTTTAAACCATTTCTCTAGTGATTTTTTTTTTTTTTCCCTAAAAGATGACCGGTAAGGGGATCTTAACCCTTGACTTGGTGTTGTCAGCACCACGCTCAGCCAGTGAGCGAACCGGCCATCCCTATATGGGATCCGAACCCTGGGCCTTGGTGTTATTAGCACCACACTCTCCTGAGTGAGCCACGGGCCGGCCCTATAGTGATTTTTAAGATTTTATATTCTATAGGCTAATCCATTGTTGGTTGTACATGTTGCAGGTATCTTCCAGTCATTGTCCTGTCTGACTTTGTTTCTTTTTGCACAGAAGCTTTTTAATGTGGTCAAGTATAGTACTCTGTCTGCATTGTTTGCTTTTATCTAATAAGGTCTTCCATTCTCTGGGGTTGTAAAGATTCTTCAAGCTTCATTTCTGCTTTTTAAGCTTGACTATTAATTTATTGTTCAAGTCAACCTCTAGGTAGTTCTTATCCCAGTGTAGGAATAGGAGGACTGGCTGGTTAGCTCAGTTGGTTAGACTGGAGCCTTATAACACCAATATAGGAATAACATTGTCCCAGCAGTGGAATGAGTACCTTGTAATGAAGTGCCACAGAGGAATGAACTTTTGTTTTTGTAGGTCATTCAGTGGTGCACCCACCACAAGGATGACCCTCCTCCTCCTGAGGATGATGAGAACAAAGAAAAGCGAACAGATGATATCCCTGTTTGGGACCAAGAATTCCTGAAAGTTGACCAAGGAACACTTTTTGAACTTATTCTGGTATGTTTTTAATGTGTGATAGCTCTATTCCAGAGACTGTAGCACCTCTAATAGAGTTAAATTTGCTAAGTTAATTGATGCTTAATTTTAATACTCTTAACTCAAATGTAATGCTATATTTAAATCTACATATCAGTATTCACATTAAATATAAACAGTCCAAACACCATAGATAAAAGGCAGAGATTGTCAGATCAGAGAAAAGCAAGACTCACCTATGCTGTCTATAGGAAACCCACTTTAAGTATAAAGACACAACTAGGTTTAAAGGATGGAAAAAGATATACTATGCAAACACCAGTCAGAAGAAAGCTTGGAAAATTATTTTAAAGTAGATTTTGTCAGCACCACACTCACTCAGTGAGCTAACCGGCCATCCCTATATGGGATCCGAACCCGTGGCCTTGGTGTTATAAGCACTGCACTCTCCCGAGTGAGCCACGGGCCGGCCCTTAAAGTAGATTTTGGAGCAAAGAATATTACCAGGGTTAAAGTGGGTTATTTCAGAATGATAAGGGGCTCAATTCATTAAGAGGACATAGCGATTATAAATGTTTATCTACCTCAAAGCAGAACTTCCAAAAAGTCAAACAAAAGCCAGTAGAACTCAAAGGAGAAATACACAAATCCATAATCATAGTTAGAGATTTCAACACCTGTCTGTCAATAATTAATAGAACAAGTAGACAGAAAATTAGTAAGGCTATAGAAGATTTGAATGACACTATCAACCAACTTGTCTTAATTGACATTTATAGAGCATTGCACCTAATGACAGCAGGATGCATATTCTTTTTAAGTGTATATTACCAGGATAGACTGTTCTGGCCCATAAAACAAGTCTTAAATTTAAATGGATTCAAATCATACAAAGTGTGTTCTCTGACCTCAGTGGACTTAAATTAGAAATCAGTAACAGAAAGGTATCTGGAAAAGTCTTCAGATATTTTAAAACATTTCCAAGTAGCCCATGGGTGAAAGAAGAAATTAAAAATATTAGAAAATATTTTGAACTGAATAGAAATAAAAACATGAAAAGTCTGTGGGATGCAGCTAAAACAAGGGAAAAACACCTATATTAGAAAAGAAGAAAAGTTATAATCAATTATATAAGCTTCCACCTTAAGAAACTAGTGAAAGATGAAATTAAACTAAAAGCAAGCAGATGAATGAGAATATTAAAGAGCAGAAATTGGTGAAATCGAAAGCAGGAAAACAATACAGAAAACCACTGAAACTGAAAGCTGTTTTTTGAGAAAATCAATAAAACGTAATATTGTAACTGCTTATGTTATAACTCTTTAGGTGTGGATAAATATTTTTGCCAAAACCGGACATGTGATGCTTGCATGAAAACACACACACACCAATAGAGGCCATTATTTAACATTTAAGCTAGTGTAGTTTACCTAAAGCAGGAGCAGGACTCATTATGTAGAGGTATTACAAAGGAGGTCACATACGGAAGTGTGTTTCACAGGAGAATTTTTGTACAATTCTTCTCCCTTTAATTTCTTAAAATTAACTAGTATTGTAAGCATAATTAGATATGGATCAGTCACTAACTGGATTTAGTTTAAAACATCAGGTATACTTTAATGAAGACAACGATCACTTTTCAGGCTGCAAACTACTTAGACATCAAAGGTTTGCTTGATGTCACCTGCAAGACTGTTGCCAATATGATCAAGGGGAAAACTCCTGAGGAGATTCGCAAGACCTTCAATATCAAAAATGACTTCACTGAAGAGGAGGAAGCCCAGGTAGGTGGCACACAGTTTGTCCTTGATCACATGCTTTTTAAAAGAGACTGAAACCCATAACATGCCAGGGGGAAAGGTGCCTGTGTTAAGGTATCTTGATGCTTGAGGGATAATAGGTACCTTCTGTGTCTTTTTTTTTTTTTTTTGTCTTTTTCGTTACTGGTAAGGGGATCGCAACCCTTGGTGTGGTGTCACCCACACGGCACTCAGCCAGTGAGCGCACCGGCCATTCCTATATAGGATCCGAACCCACGGCGGGAGCG